GAAATTATTCTGGGTTTGAAATTATTCTGGGTTTGATGATGATGATGAAATTTGATTTTAGTTCTTCGTTTGAAATTTTGGATGGGTAAAAAAAGAAGATGAAGTAGAGAAATTATTCTGGGTTTGAAATTATTCTGGGTTTGATGATGATGATGAAATTTGATTTTAGTTCTTCGGTTTGAAATTTTGGATGGGTAAAAAAAAAAGATGAAGCAGAGAAATTATTCTGGGTTTGAAATTATTCTGGGTTTGATGATGATGATGAAATTTGATTTTAGTTCTTCGGTTTGAAATTTTGGATGGGTAAAAAAAAAAGATGAAGCAGAGAAATTATTCTGGGTTTGAAATTATTTTGGGTATAAAAGTTATTCTGAGGCAGATCTGGAGACCCAGAATTGGTTTAAGTAAATCTGGAAAAAAGATGTTGAGAGTTGATCGATAATTTTGTAAATCTAGGTATAAAAGTTATACAAGTAAATCAAGTAATGGTTTCCAGATCAGTAAAAATCTGGAAAAATTATGATGTATTAATGGTTTCCAGATCTGTAAAAAAATGGGGTTTCTTCTTTAACACTTTTTCGTTTCTTTCCTTGTTTCTTATCAATGGACACAGTTGCTTTAAGCCTTGTTTACAACTGATGAATCGAAGTGTATATTCCAATGTATTAACGATTAAGGTGTGGCTTTGTTCTGTGGGAGATTGGTACTTACCAATTGTCAAAGAAATCAGAGACACAACAAGGACAGAGGAGATAAGAAGAGAGAGAGAAAGAAAGAAGAAAAAAAAAACCCCTCCAAAGCTATTCAGATCTATCGTTCAAAAAATAATAAAAATCATATTTAAAACAATATACTCTTCGAATCAACAGATCAACAACTACGTCGCAAAAATTTTTTTTTTTTTGCAATCAATCAGTTGATTTCTTCGCAAATTGCAGGCCAATTTAAAAAATAAAAATAAAAAAAATTTTGGGGGTATTTTTAAACTAATATACTCTCGAAATTGACAGATCAACCACTCATAGAAAAAAATCAAAGGCAGGAGGCACGGGACAGATCTTCTTCTCGTAGCAAAAAATCACTCGTAGCAAAACTAATGAATATTTTAATCTCCTTATCGCAGAAACAGTTCGGCTTCATCACAGAAATCTTCTTTATATGCCCCCAAACTAAAGTGAAGTGCAGAGAAGTGTATGAAATTTCCCAGAAATATTTTAGTTTGGGGGTATTTTCATAGAGAGGCTTGACCTTTTTCAAGTACTTGGAGAATTTCTTATCTTCGAAAGCCGATTCATCTGAGCTCTGTTGCTTCTGGGTACCAGAGGAAGACAAAGAAGAAGAACAAAAGGAAGAAGAAAAAAAAACCCTCCAAAACGACGTCGTTTTGGAGGGCGACAGGAAAGTGCGACGGACGATCCGGATTCAAATCAACCCAAGCCTTAATGTTATTAATATGTTGATTAGTTGTTTCATGCTTTTAAGTTTTACACCCAAATTTCTCCAATCTCTTGTTCCTTCATTTACAACAAAAACAAAATACTTTATCTAAATTTATTGAATAAATTAGCCATTTTCTGCCATGCTTCTCTTCGTTTGGTAATTTTCGAATATAATAGGCGGTTAAAAAATGTCTAGAGAGTTCATCTTAGGGAAAATTTATATCATAATCTCTAATTGGACCGTTTTCTACTAGTAAATTTCTTAATTTTGTATCAATAGTATTCCATTCACTTGGATCATAAATGTTTGGAGGAACATGATCATTTGTTTCTTTTCTTTTTTTGATGTATAGTTTCATTATGTTGTAACTCTTCTTAATCAATTACTTGTTTGTTTATAGAATTTTTACCTAAATTGTTTGTAGTGTCATTTTTTGGTTGCATAGTTTCATTAAACGATCAATCACTCGTTCATTTATGGAACTTTCGCCTAGATTTTTTTTTTAATATTTTCATCTCTTTTTTGTATGGTTTCAATATGTTCTAATTCTTTTGAATAAATTACTTGCTCATTTACAGAATTTTTGTCTAACTTTTTTGTTATATTTTTATTAATTGTAATGAATTGATCAAGAGCTCCTTTTCTAGATTGAATAAGATTTTCTATTTTCCTTTTCTTCTTAAGTTTTTTATATCCAGATTCATATTTTGGATTAGACATATTTGTTTTCTCCTTAAAAAAAAATTTTAAAAAAAAAGATCACAACACTAGAAATGATAAAAATACAAATATATATATATATATATATATTGAAATGGTAAAACAATACAACTTGATGATGAAGCAAGCCTTGTTGATGATGAATAACAGAATTGTTGATGATGAATCAAGTCTTGAAGAATAGTGCAGACTGTGAATCACATGATAGTGCAGATAGTGAAAGAAGAATATCAGAATTGTTGATAATGAATCAAGCCCTGAAGAATAGCGTAGAGAAAGATAGAGAGGATGAGTTTTTTTTTTTTTTTTCCAATAGAGTGAGGGAGAGAAAAAGAGAGAGAAAGAAAAAGAGAGTCAATCAGAATATAGCGAGAGATATCTCTACAATCAAGGGAAAATTATTTCACTTAAATTATAACTCAATTGTTCCCAACCCGTCAAAAAATATTTATAAAAAAAAAAAATTTGTATCTGTTGGCTATATATTTTGTACGGGCCAATCACAATTCGACGTGTGGCAGGCTGAGGGTAATATAGAAAGATAATTCAAACCTTCGATCGTGATCGTACACGTGGCAGTTAGTATTGGTTTTCATAAGATCTGTGTAGTACTGGATCAGCAAAGAGATACAAAATGATGTGGCTTCAACAGTTACTCACATTTAAATTCAAAATCAAGAGGGAAACCTAACTGCAAGTATTGGCATAGTGGAGCTAACTATAAGGCAACATGATCAGCGATCATGGAGGAGCAGTTCGACGGTTAGAAGTGCAGTTCGATGGTTATCCTTGAGAAGTATAAATAGCAGAGAAAGCCCCAGAAAAACTCCCAGAGACTTAGATCCAAAAATCCAGTTTTATCTACTTTATTTCCTTTCCAATTTTACATTTCCTGTGTCTTTGTATTTCTGTACTTTAAAATTCCTACACTGCATTTCGTTTATAGGAGTAGTTTCAAGTAGATTGTTGTTGTAAACCTCTACGAGGCTGAATTGGATCATTGTAAGTCTTTCGTTTTACTTAATGAAATACTGCAATTGTTCTTCATTTAATCATTGTTAGTTTATTCCTCCTAAGCAAAGCCACCAGTAAAAGTCCTTTTCATTGAGGTTGAAAGAACTAAAACACAATAGTCTAATAATTGGTTGACAATTAAATTTCTGTAAGGACTAATTGATCCTTGTTGGCACGCTCACAATTACAAAAATAAACTTCGAAAGCCAAAAAAGCCAACATATATTTTTGGCACGCCCGGTGGGTGGGTGAAGGTTGGGTTATTTGGATTGGAATAAATCATCAACTGTGAGTTTTAAGCCCACTAGATAGTGGCTGTAGACACCCTATTTTTGACCGTCCTCAAGACTTGGACGTCACCGTTTGAACACTCGGTGATCATCCATGTTTGTGTTCGTTTGGAGTTCCTAGAGGTCTCGGCAACGCGCCTTGCCTCAGGATCTCCGAACTCGACTGTTTAGTGTCTGGTTTTGCACCAAACACTTGTGTTTTGCCTTGGAGGGGCAGGGACTGCCTTGTCAGGCATCCCCACACACCACCAGCAGCAGCTAAAGGTCACCGGCTGGCTTTTTGATGCCATCGGCACTTTTTGTTGCCGGTCGGCACTGTTTGTTGCCGGTCGGCACTAAATTTTGTCGAAATGACATTTTTGGGCAGCTGACCACTGTTCATCCACTTTATGGAGATATTTTGTGCCAGCTGTGATACCTGGCACCAACTTTGCCTCCCTCCACACACGTGTATGGAGGGATGTCCCTCTAAGCAAGCTTGTTGTATAAGCTTTGCAAGAGGGAC